TAGAATTAAACTTCCCTTGAGCAAAAGTACTGTTTGTGTCTGGTGGCAATACTGTAAAGAAAATCCCAGCCATGAGCGCTGTGTAGTCAAAGGAGCAAAGACTTTGGGAACCAGAAATACTGCCCAGTGGGGATTTGGCCTTTGTGTTTTACAGAGAGCATCGTGAATGGGGATAATAAGCATTATTGTCTTCAAAGAAATATTATTTTGTTTTTTGTTTTTAAAATGCTTTGAGGCAGAGTCACCAGAATGTAAGTCCTGAAGATATAACAATATATACATATATATTTTTAAAAAGTTCTTACTATTTCAGTCATTTCTGTCACCTATTTGTTTTCAGGAAATTGCTTTAGTTTCATTTAATTCATATACACACTGGACTAGGCATGTATTATGCCTATCATGACCCCAGGAGTGGCTGGTGTTAGCTAATTACCACCTTAATTTTTAGTGACCAATTTTCAAACGTATAAAGCAAGACGGTAGAGAATGTAGGAAGCATCAACAAGTTAGCTAACTCGTCCCAAACCCCTCCATGCATCCATGCAAATACTTTCAAAATTACCTGCAAAGTTAATGGGAGTCCTCACGGTAAACATTGCATTAAGAGAAACACTCTTCCATCCATGTCTTTATGTTTTTATAGTCATTTGTATCTATTTATAGGCTAATTCATGCTATTATGCCTCTAAGGAGCGATCTTATCTGTGTATACCCTGATTTCCATTGCTAGGACTCCTCAAACATAACCAAACAGAAACGTAAGATCACCAAACAACACGTAACATTCTTAATTATAGAGTTGTTACTCTGCATGGTCTAACGTATACACTTACAACCTGCCCATATGGAACGCCAAAGGAAAAATAAAACAAACTAAACAAAGTACTGGGAGTGGAGTGGAGCAAGTAGCAAAAAGAATTGGAGGAATCATTTTTACTTTTTTAGATATTCTGAGTGTCAATTACTATCCTGAACTTTAGAGGGGCAACAAATGTAATTTCTCTTTCAGGTAGGAGAATCGATTCCTTTGGAAACTCTGAACTCTTTTGGGGATCAAGGTCAATGTTTAACAAACTCCCCATACCTTTGGCAGTTGGACAAGTTGGTGTTTTTTAAACTGAGATTGTACAAGGCAGGGAATTTCCACAGTCTGTTCTGGTGTTACCATCATTGTTAATGTGGGGATGAAAGGCATGTGAAGGGACTATAAGGAGGGGCTTTGTTTTCATTTCCTTATTTTAGGTAGGGGTAAAAAAATGTCAGATATCGGCAACTTCATGTGGTCCGCCTAGTAGTTTGTGAACCAGTGGTGTTAGGTTTTGTTTCATTCCTAGGAGGCTCTCTGAATGAAAACATGACATGCTGAAAGGAAAGTTATGAAGGTCATTTTCTCAGTCAATTGACAGAACATTTAATCACTGTATTTACTGCTCTATTATTTTAACTGTGAGGATCTTGAACACAGAAACTGATTTATCTTTCAGGTCTCAGCTCAGTTTCAATTTAACTTTTACAGAGAAGGGTTCTCAGACTTTCTACCTCCATCTCTATTTTCTCTCAAAGTAATGCTTATTAGAATTTGTTAATTATATGAAATATAATTTATTAATGCAGTTGTATTAACCTTTACAAACTTCTTTCTTTCCCCCGACTAAAAAGAATCCATAATTTTATAGGCTCCTCAATCCTAGATTGGCTCTTAGATATTTGTCATGCAAAATCTGAGAGGAAGGGGTGAACTTTGCTAGCAGGTAAAACGATCTCTATGGTAAGGGAGAGAGAAGGGACTGGGGGTAGGGTGTAAAAGGAAAAAGGAATGGAAGTACAGAGCATCTGCCATAAGGTATCTAGTGATATTTGACACTAAATATATATACGTATATGAGCATGTTTATATTTACATATTACTGTTATTTATTAAATAATATTTGTATTTGTATATTATTGTTATTTATCAAAGAAATGGCCAATGCTTTGAAAATGCTTTATGTCTAGAGGAAAAACAATCAGTAAAATATCAAACTTCAAAAAGTTGACTTAATATTGTAGCTCACATTTCAAATCATAAAATATCCGTATAAACTAGACACCATTAAATTGAAAACTATTTCAAAACTTTGCAAAATGTGTTCTTTATTACAAGGTGTTTTGCTGTATCTGGCTCTGAGTAATAATAGCCCATAAGAGAACTTTGTATTATTGACAAGTCTTTGGCAAGATATTTTCTGTTCTTTTCAGATAGTAGTTTGGTGGCAAAATGCAACCATTGTAGGTGTAAATTGTATAAAAATAAAAAATGAGTGCAGAAAATTACTTATATGATCCTAAATGGTCCACAAGCGAAACTGAGTTAATGAGCATGGGGGAAAGTATTTTGAAGAGATGGGTATTTAAACATATAGAGGTATAAAGTTTGAGTGGCTCAGGTTCCCTCATATAATACTTAAGGAATTTTCATTCGTGTAAGAGTTGGATTGTGTCCAACTGCTTGAGATATATCTTTATTGTAAAGGAAGTTTTCCTAAAATCAGATTGCTTCCCTAACTCTGCCTTTTAAAGAATAAAAAATGTTAACAATTACTTATGAGCGCTGACTTGGGCTCCGAGCAGAAATAGAAAGCACAAGAAAATGAATATCGCATTAAGCATAATGCCACCACAGGAACATTCACCAGATCACTATCTTCTAGGCTGTTTTATTTCCAAGGATTTGTCCTCCAGCTGACTATTTCGGAGACGCTAAAAAGAGGGGACAGTCATGACACAATAAGATGTAGGCTTTCTGGTGATAATTTAACACTTTATGGTCCCTTTAAATTCTCAAATCTTTCATCAAAGAAGAGATTTAGGACAATTCAAAGGAAGGTTTTTATTATAATAGCTATGAGAGGTAAAAGCATTCATTGACTTTAAAGGTGAAATTAAGCTGTTCCAAAATAAAGATTTTTTTTCCTAAGTCAAATGTAAAGGCAGGGCAAGTGTTGCTAGTTAATCTTGTGAACAGTCTGTTAGTCTATACTTAGTCTTAACTTCCCAATTTCATAAGGGAACTGATTTGTAAGGGAACTTTTCTATTTTAGACTTCAGAAGTTTCTTCAAAATACCTTCTCTGAAGGCTTTATCAGAGCAGAGATTGTTTGAGATGACTCAGTATTAATTTATTATACCAGGCAGACAGGCTTTTGGCTAGCAAACCTAAGTCCGGTTACACAATGTCGTTCGAATGTCATTTTGAGAGGAGAAGCAAGTTGGACGAGTGGCTCCAGGTAGTGGTCCCTCTCAGTGTAAGAATTCAGGAAATGAGCTGCTTTCTCATTCATAGTACTCATGAAAGAGAAATCCTAGGATTTGGTTTAAATAAATTAATGGGCTCCTTATATTTCAAAACTGTTCACACTTTGTTTTGGCACTCCAAGAAGTGCTATAGTATTTATGCATAGTAAATTATGAGAGATTAGTGATCATCCAATTTAGAATGAGCTAATGGTGGGTTTGTGTCAGAGAACTGAATTTACGCAGTTGTGTGCCCAGCACTAAGTAGGCATGCCAGTCTCGGGAAACTATGAAATGGCCATACAAGAACCCAGGGGGTGAACATGATGGTAATCAGGGCCATAAAGACACGGACTACCTTTCATGTTTTAATTTGCACCAGTGCGTTTGAGGCCTAAAAGCAGAAGCTGTTCTCCAGCATCTGCCAGACAAGCCCATGTGTTTTATTTTGTTTGTTTGTTTTTTTTAGAACATAAAAAAGTTGTAAAGCATGAAGACTTGCTCAACAGCTGGGCTACAGTCTTCGCTGGGTTAAGCCTATTCCTAATTCCGTATTTGCGAGTATGGATTTGCAGGAGTCAAATTCTCATGTTTTGTGAATTCAGATCTAGAAGAAATTATAGGATAAAATTGGGCCATTCTTTAAAAATAAAATCTATTTAAGTCATTATTTAATTCCAAGCCACTATCATACTGTATTTGGTGTTTCCTTCCAAAGAAATAGTATTCAAGACATTTGCCATGGTCCTGATTCTGCAAGACTAAGTCCTTTCTGTCTTATGGGATAGATAATTGAAAGGGCCTTTTAGCATTGTTTTTTGGATGTGCAGCACAAATCCCCTTATTGATTCATCTCTTCTGCTCTCGTAGGGCCTCATTCTATGTAGCATTGGAATCAGATAGGATACATTGTTCAATCATTTATTTATTCAATAATATTTATTCAGTATCAACTATGCACTAGATACTGCTGTAGGCCTGTGTTTCCAATATGGAAGTCACTAACCACATGTACCTATTTGAGTCCTAGAAATATGGCTAGTTTGAACTGAGATGTGCTCCAAGTACAAAAAGTATTTGCTGGATTTTACAGACATAGCACACAAAAAAGAAGGTAGATTATATTAATATTTTTTAGATTGGTTATCATTTAACATATAATCACTATAAACATTGCTGAGAAACTTTGTGAGCAACAAATATCATTTGACTTAGCAATATCTACAAAGCATGGATATGGAAGCTGTGAATGTCTATTAGAGCTAGTCTGTCACTGGCACAGGGTGACAACCACAGAGTTCCCTCATGGCCAGAAGCCACTTTGTCTAGATGCAGGGATCCTAAGAGAAAAGATGCTGACCTGAGTATGCCCAATTGTAGTGGGTTAAATGGTCAAAGCTATGTACACTTCCAGGGGTGCCTGGGTGGCTCAGTCAGTTAAGCAGCTGCCTTTGGCTCAGGTCATGATCCCAGGGTCCTGGGATTGAGCCCCGCATCTGGCTCCCTGCTCAGCGGGGAGTCTGTGTTCTCCCTCTCCTTCTGCCTATTGCTCCCCCAGCTTGTGCTCTCTCTCTTTCTCCCTCTGTCAAATAAATAAATAAAATCTTAAAAAAAAAAATATGTGCACTTCCAAATCCCTGGAAATGAGTGGCCTTATTTGGAATAGGGTCTTTGCAGGTGTTTAAGTGAAGGATCTCAGTATGAGATCATCCTGCGTTATCTGAATGGGCTCTAAATCCATTGACAAGTATCCTTATAAGAGACAGAAGAGGAGAGGTCAGGAACACAGAGGACAAGGCCGTGTGAAGAAGGAGGCAGAGATTGGAGTTATGCAGCCACAAGCCAAAGACTACATGGGTCTACCAGAAGCTGGTAGGGGCAAGGAAGGATTCTCCCCTGGAGCCTCCAGAGACAGAATGGCCCTGCTGATACTTTGATTCTAGACTTCTGATCTCCAGAACTGTGAAAAAATAAATTTCTGTTGTTTTAATCCACCATATTTGTGGTAAATTGTTATGGCAGTCCTTAGAAACTAATACATCCACTCTCTTTCTTCCCTGTAATACGTGGATTAGATAACTTTGGTCCTTGAGAAGGATCAAAAGAATTACTCTAATCTAAGGTCCTTCATATGGAAACAAAGACATTCCCTTCCTGTAAAATGATGGGCTCTTTGTTTTTTTTTTAAATTTAAATTCAATTAATTAACATATAGTGTATTATTAGTTTCAGAGGTAGAATTCAGTGATTCATCAGTCTTATATAATACCCAGTGCTCATTATATCATGTGCCCTCCTTAATGTCCATCATCCAGTTACCCCATCCCCCCACACCCTCCCCTCCAGTAACCCTCAGTTTGTTTCCTATGATTAAGCATCTCTTATGGTTTGTCTTCCTCTCTGGTTTATGACAGGCTCTTTGCACTTTCTAGTTCCCAAATACATAGGTTCGGTTTAATTTTTTTACTCACATTATTTCACCCATGTTCTCATCCTTTCAGTCTGTGACAAATCCCAACCAACCTCTTCCTACACCCTGATCCAGGATGGAAATAACTCCTCCATGCACTGCCTCCCATGTTATTACTGCTTATTTCATTTATTCAACTAATATTTTGAGAATCACATCTATAGGACAATACATTGCAATATTTTTCTTGGGACACACTGTGAACAAAACAGACAAAAATCTCTGGCCTCCTGGATCTTAATTTCTAGTAGGGGCAGAGAGACAATAAATGATAACAACAAATAACATAGCATATTATAGACTAATGAGTGTTGTGGAGCACAGACAAGTAAAGCAAGGTACGTGGATTCAGGGGTACTGAAGGTGTGGGAGGCTGGCTTGCAGTATGAGATAAAGTGGTCAGCGTGGGCCTCATTGAGTAGATGACATTTACACAAAGACTTGAAGGAGTTAGCCAAGCAGATATCTGTGGGAACAGCATTCCAGGCAGAGAGAACAACTACAGCAAAGACCTCAGGGTGGGGAGCATCCCTGGTATGTGTGCAACAGAGTCCAGTGTGGTGGGAGTAAAGTGAGCAGGGGACAAAGTGGTAGGAGAAGAGGTGATGATGGGGGAGGGGAGCAGCATATAGGACCTGTGAGGCTATCGTAAGGATTTGACATTTCTCTTGAGTGGAATGCAGAGTGTTTGGAGATTTGAGCAGAGGAAAGTCATTTTCTGACTTAAATTAGAAAAATTATTTTGGCTGCAGTGCTGAGAATAGACCATGGAGGTGGCTGGGGTGGGAACAAAGATAGGAGAAAGATCTATTAGGAGGGTGCTGCAATTGAGAAATAATGTTGACTCGGACTTGGGAGGCTGGTGGACATATTAGGAAGGAGTGGGATTATGCATACAATTTGAAGGTATGGTCAATAGGGTGTGAAAGAGTAAGAGGAATCAAGATTGAGTCCGTAACTTTGGCCTGAACCTCAGGAAGGATAGAGAGAGATGCTTTCAGTGAAAGAAGACAGGCTGTAGAGAGAGCAAATGTTGTGAGGAGTGGATAGAGAGGGTATTATTCATTTTCAGGTAGATTTTGTCATTATCATATAATTAGCCTGAGCTAGTGATTCTATTAATAAGCAAATTAGAAGTGATGCAGGCATAGTTCAGTCTCCACTGGACTCAGGGGTGTTCCTGGCTTACCTCATTATGGTAATGGCAGAGATCCAAGCTTCACATTTACTTCTTATTAGTCTGACTATATACGATCCTGAGGACCTGCCTATGGTCTCCTGAAGTTACTGATTTTATACTTAACATTTCTTCTAGCTAACCTTCCTTCCTTCCTTCCTCCAACATGATAGATGCTCTTTTTAATTACTAATAGCTGCCTTTCACATTTTTCTGAATAGCATCTCAAATTTCTTTCAAGGGATCATCTCCCCTATTATTTCCCACCTTTTTAGTTATCGTCTTAATGTTTCTTTAGCCTCCCATTCATTTTCTGGGCCTACAATAACCTTCTAATAAATTCCCTTTTTTTTTTTTTAAAGACAAAGTTGTTTTTTATCATTATGATGAAGAACCCTGGTAGGTAGAGAAAAATGAGAGAAAATATGACTTTAAACATTAGAATTCTATATTACAAAGGTTGTCAGAATGCTTAATTCAGAAAGGTAATTTATATATTTTATGTGGTTTCATGTGCAGTGAACCTCATGAGCTTTTATCCTATGACATTGTCAACAATTATTATCAAAGAGTTCAATGGGATGGCTGCTGGTGAGCTCCCTAAGCTGAGATTTCTTTGCTCAGACTATTTAAGCTCAACTGGCTTCATGAGCTTAGTTGTCTCTATAAAGATAGGTCTGAGGGGGATTTTGCATGGAGTCATAATTCAATCACCATTGGCATATATTCACTCATTTCATATCCTTCAGCTTTGTTGCTGAACTGGGGATTTAGTCTTCTTTTTGTCTTAGGTTTATTTTTATTGCTTTCTTCAGTCCTGTATCAAATTGTTTAATATAATGAATACATTGATAAAACCAACCCTAAGGAGAAAATGTTTCCATTTCCGTCTCTTCTTTTAGATCCTGAGTCTACTCATTCTTAAATCCCGAGTTTAATCCTGGGTCATCAGTTTTTATCTTCTCAGTCCAATGGACCCCTTTGATTAAAAAAAATATATTTAGGCCATTTAACAAAGAAATTGTGAATTAAGAATAAAGGGATAGTGAAAAACAGCTATGGTAGAAATTTTAATAAGGATTTAAACAATATTTGCATTGTAAAAATGCAATCCTTCTGAAAACTTTGATGAATAATTTTTCTAGAGAAGATTGACATCTCTCCTCCATAATTATAAAACATTGTAATTTTTAGACTTATAAACACCAGTGAGAATAGTTATTTCTGTGAATTTTTTCATTTATAAATTACCTTATATAAATTATATCAAGTAAATTTTAGTGCATAAACATCATAAAAGATGAGGGAGTACTCATCCCTTTAGCAAAACAATATGGTCCAGATTCTTGTGAATCTTTTTTGCAAGATGAAATATTTTATGTTAAGTGATTAACTCATAAGAATACCATATTTTCTCATTGTTAACCACTATTCTAAGCAGTTCAGATATATTAACTCATTTAATCATTTAATCTTTACGGCAACCATATGGAGTAAGTACTACCAGTATCCCATTTTATAAAAAAGGAAACTGAGGAACATGGAGGATCAGTAACTTGCCCCACATCACACATCTAGTGAGTAGCAGAGCCAGATTCAAGCCCAGGCAATCTTCTCTGAACCAGCCTTATAGTCTATAAGAATAAGCAGTCTGAACATATGCCGACAAATCTTGTAACACTCTGGAAGCAGTAATATTCAAAATGGGGGAAAAACCTTACAAGAGGGCTGTGTAGAGCTTCCCAATCTGTGCATTACAGATAGTTAACAGATTTATCTACACATTTAATTCCATGAGTCCGTGGGCAGCCTCCTCTTAGTTCCTGGGAGACACTTCTATCTACCCCAATGTGGTTTATTATTTTCTATGGGTCATATGACATGAAAATGGTTAGGAGTACTGGTTCACTCTATCAATATACTAGTATATCCTTGGTATACCATCTTCACGCAGCTTAGAGTGTAGCAGGAAATATGGACATGAAACCAGTAATTACAAGTTTGGTAAATGCTATGAAAGGAGAATAATATTTCTGGGTCTCCTTACCTAAATACTTCTCCTCTACTTTTCTTTAAGCATTCGTGAACCGCGGGGCTTTCTCCTGGGTGCTCTCATCTTTTCACTCAAAGCCTCTCCGAGGAATCTCATCTAAATCCAAAGGTCACTTAGCCAGCATACATGGTGGTTTTCCAAATATGCATCTCTTGCTCTGTCTCTCTCCTGAGACTTAGACTGATATAGTCAGCTGTATGTTCTAACTTTATCCGCTGAAGTCTAGTTGGCATTTCAAACTCAACTTGACTGAAAATGAACTCATTTTTTCCTCAAAAGCTGTTTTTCCTAATGTACTCCCAATGGTAACAAGTGGTGATATGATCTATCCATTTCCCAAGTGAGAAGCTGAGGGATTCCTAGAAACACCTCCATCCCCTTCAGCTTCCACCTCTAATGGCCACAGAGTTCTATCAGTTGATTGTTTCTTCTTCCCATTGTCTTATTTCAGGCTATCATAGCTTTTAGCCTGTATTTTTGCAGTTACCTTTTGTGCTAAATTATACAAGTAAGTGGTAGGGTTCCTGATTTAGTTGTATGTTCTGTTTTATTGGTTTTGATCAGAGATTATTAAATTTACTATTCTTGCTTTTTGAAATTTATTAAAGTTTTCTTTGTGCCATCATATATAGTTAATTTTTTTAAAAAGAATTTATTTATTTGACAGAGAGAGACACAGCGAGAGAGGGAACACAAGCAGGGGGAGGGGCAGAGGGAGAAGCAGGCTTCCTGCCCAGCAGAAAGCCTGATGCGGGGCTCGATTGCAGGATCCTGGGATCTTGACCTGAGCTGAAGGCAATGCTTAACCCACGCGCCCCATATATAGTTAATTTTTAACAATGTATTACTAGCATTGAAAAAAGTGCCTTCTTTGGTTTTAAGATATAAAGTTGGGGATATATGTTGCCTTAATAATTATTCAATTGAAGTCATTCCTATCAATACTTTTTTTGTCCGCTTGATCGTCTGTGGACAGAGAGAGGTAAGATAAAATTTTGACCATTGAGGGTTAGTCTATTCTCCTTGTATTGTTTTGCTTACAAGTGTCAATGCTTATTCAAAGTTCACTGTGATTCAAATTGTTTCTGTGATTTCTTTCTTTTTCTTCTGTCCAGGCAACAAGAATCAGACTCTGTAAGATTGCTTGCCATGCAGAGTCCATCTAATTGACT